ATGGGGCACATTCTATTACGCCAGAGCCACACCAACTGCACACACACTGGATCCAGAAGTTCCCTCCTCCTCTTATTTCAGAAGAGGGCATTGAAACCTCTAGAACTGGAGTTATGTATGACTGATGAACCACGGCATGGGCACTGGGAACCAAACCCAGGTCCTATGTACAAGCAGCAAGCATTCTAAACCACTGAGCTATTTCTCCAGCCCCTCTTCTTCATCTTCAGTAAACATCTTCTTTAGCTTAGGCTGGCTTCAAACTCATATAACCATGGATGACCTTGATACTTTTGACTTTCCTGCTTCTATCTCCTGAATGCTGGGATTACACACAAGTGCCACCATGCCTAGTGTGGTGTTGACCACCAATCTTAGGGTGTTAATCACACGAGGGAAGCATTCTGCCAACTGAGCTGTATCCACAGCTCACGTGAGTTTCTTTCTTAGGTACAGTGCTTATAGTTGCTACAGCCTATCTGGGCAACCTTGGCAAAATATCTTAAAAGGCTTTGAACCTCATTTTTTTACTGTTAATTTTTTGTACTTATATCAGTGTTGTAGAACTACTATAAGAATTATGATGTATGTATGAATGTATGCATATATGTATTTTTGAGACCAAGTCTCACACTGTAGGCCAAACTAATCGAAAACCTGCTATGTAGTCCCAATTGTCATCCAACCTACAATCTTGTTTTAGCATCTCCTCCACCAGTATTGGTACTTCAGACATGTGCTAAGCCTTTAGAATATATATAGTCATATGTAAAATACATACATATTAACTACCTAATATATTATAAAATATTTAGCCCAGTACTTAGTATATAGTAAATATAAATGCATTAGAAAGTAAGAAAGCCGGGTGGTACTCGCACTCGAGAGGCAGAGGCAGGTGGATCTCTGAGTTCAAGGCCAGCCTGGTCCACAGCGCTAGTTCCAGGACAGCTAGGGTTGTTACACAGAAAAACCCTGTCTTAAACACCCCACCCCCTCCCCCAAAAAAGAAAAAAGCTGTAATCACAGCTCCTTCCGAGGCTGTGTCAAGAGGACTACAAATTCAAGACTACCTGAGCTATTGAGAGTAACCTGGTAAGACCCTGTGTCAAAATGAAAACGAAGTCTGAAAACTCAGGTGTGGCAGGGCATACCTGCAATCCCAGCACCTGGGAGGCTTAAGTGGGAGGATTTCAGTGAATCTGAGGCTAGCCTAGGCTGTAAGGTGAGTGTGGGTCAGCATGGCAAGTAGATTAAGACCTTTTAAAGGGTGTGTGTATAAGCTGCAGGTGTACACCTTACACCACACACACACACACACACACACACACACACACACACACACGACTGTGTCTATAACTCAGTGGTAGAGCTGAGTGGTAGAACTTCTATGTGTGGGGCCTTTAGTTTAAAAAAAATGAACTAGAAATATATGAACATATGATCATCATATAGGCATTTGTGTATGTACATATGCCTGCACAGACACACGCATGCCTTTAAATATGAATGCCTGCTAATTACTCATCTAATAAGCCCTGCCTTAATAAGAGCATCATTTACCATTCATGGACAAAGTTAAGTATTTTCTGAGAGGGCCTGATGCTCACACTGACAGGTTTCAACCTAGGGAACCATTTCTGTCCAGAAACCTTGTCGTCAAAGCCTAAGGGCTGCCTTGCTTTAATGTTTAATCTCTGAAATTAATTACTGGCTAGACAATTCAGAATGTCTCTGAGGACACTAACGATGATGATGGTGTTTTCCTAACTCCAAGTTAGTGATCTAGCAGTGGAGTCTGTTGGGAAATGAGTTTGATTCTACCTTCAGGATCTTTAGTCCTCCTACAACCGGGGGATCTGCTCCCACATCAGATTCTCTATAATGCCTTGATTTTATCTGCGATGGCTCACCTTTATGGCATGGAGGTTACAGCATTATAAAACCATACTGTAATTGAGATTATAATTATGCATTCCTTGGAAATCATTTGGAAATAACTCATGACATCTGGTATCCTCTCTCTCATGCACAGAATGAGTCAGTAGACTGTAGAGTGAGGAACTGGTTTTCTCATAGAACTTGGTATCGTCTGGCATTTCCTGTGTGGAGCAAAATGAAGGTACATTCAAACCAAAAGATGTCTTGGCTCGCTAGGGAAAATGACAGCCACTCTAACCAGTTCTAAGTCCACACTTACTAGCAGTAATACCCATTTCACTACTTCTACCTGAGAAGCTTTCAATAGCTGTTTAACTTATTGGTACTTTATTTCTTGAACCATAAAATGGAGATAATAAGAATACCTGTCTTTTGGTCACCAGTACTGTGTTGTACTCTTACAGTTTTGTTGAGGTGACAGAAAGCCTATCAAATGCTGTAAAAATGTAAAGAGTAGCTACTTTAGTAGATTTAAGAGGCTCAACTAAATCGCTATGAATACAATGATCAAGGGCTGGCGAGATGGCTCAGGTTCAACTCAGCACCCATACGAAGGCTCAAAACCATGCAGGTTCAGAGGATGCAATCTCCTCTTCTGGCCTCTGTGGGTACCAGGCATGCATGCGGTGTATGTACACATATGCAGGCAAAGAACTGACACGCCTAAGATATCCTCTACTGTTTATGGATGGCTTCTCTAACCACCGTAGAGTCTATAGTCACAGGACTATGAGCTGCATCAGGCCAGGGGACAATCTGGCGCCATGCTTTATCTGCAACTCCCATCTTCACTGAACTTAGTTCAGCCATGGACATAGAAGGTCATCGACAGTCACGATGAGTTCAACATGGTAGTAGTGCACAGGAGGGAATGCCCTGGAATACACCGGAAGCCAAGGAAGCCAATGAAAACACATTGGTGGCTTTCTCAATACTGAACCCCAGCACACAGGAGCAAGTAATTTTTAGGTTGCAACAGATGACCCTATCTCAGTCCGTATACCTCTCTGGAGGCACACATACTATATGGGCATCAGTATTTGCATCATTAATATTATAAATAAGAGTTTTGCAAAATAACACTTGTTTCACTATGTAATTATGCCCTGTTCTTTTCTGTGGTAGTTGGGTTTAGTGTCTCTTATGTTTTAATGTTGAACTTTATGTGTAGCCAGGCATGACCTTGAACTCCTGATCTTCCCACCTCTACCTCCCAGTGTTGAGACTATAGGCATAGGCCAGCTCGCGCACCACCTTATGTACATTCTGATTTCGTGGGGATCTTGCTCAAACACAGATGAGGTTCAGCAGAAGGCAGATAGGGCAGGAGTTTCTGTACTACCTTCATGTTCCCGGGTAATCCTGAAGGTCCACAGGGGACATAATGAGGGGTAAAAATGTACATTTGTAGTAATCATTTCTAATGCTGGAAACGGCTTGTTAAAGTTATGTTCCAGGGCCAGTGAGATGGTTCAGTGGATAAAGGATCTTGTTGCCCATCCTGGGAACCACATGGTGGGAGAAAGAACAGGCTCTGGCAAGCTGTCCTCTGAGAGCCACCCTTGTGTCATGGTGGGCGTGCATTTCATGACCCACTAGAGGGCTGCATTCTAGAGTTGGGAAAACATTCCTCATTGTTTCTAACATTTCTTTCATCTCTCTAATTCCACTGTCATATTCTTGGCTTGGGAAACAGGAGAATTTGGGGAAGGAGCTCGCAGCCCAGTATCCCCATTTCTATGGATTTGGGCAGAAACAACCACAGGCTTCCGACTTTCTCTTCCTTGTCCCAAGCCAACACTTCGCAGGGAAAGGAACTGAGTGGGTTGTGACCAAGAGCAGGACCATGGAACGAGAGCGCTATGTCTACCCGTGTTTATTTCTACTTCTGCCCGACGAGGTCATCCTCACTTCCCAGGGAAGAGAAAGCAATTGACTGAGCCTGGTACTCAGCAACAAGTGAGTCATAGTGGGAGCGAATCTTCCAGTCCTGTATCCCTGGCTAATGGTGTGGCCACAATTTCAGGGGAGACCCCAGTGGGAACCACCCAGTTTCTGATCCACAGAAACCATGAGGCACCATTTTTCATTCATAACATTTATAGTTGCTGGTCTAGATCATTAAGTTTTGGTATGCTGTCCATTAAACTTTAAAGTTATTTGTTCTGCAATAGTGATAATAAAACTCTTAACCAAAGGTTATATTGATTGCATCATTCCAATTTATCCCAATAAAAAGAAAATGTTTACAAAGCCCTTTATATTACAGCTTAACCATGCAGCTTGAAGCAGCTCATTCTCCCGCCCCAAGCTCTACTTCCCTAAGGTCATGGGCAGTAGATCAGACAAACAAAATTGTTTATTCTTTTTATGAATTGTTTTAATGCTTGTTTTTGAGAGAGGGTTTCATATAGCTTGCTTTGCTATGTAGTCAAGAATGACCCTGAACTTCCTATCTTCCTGCATTCACAATCAAAGTGACTATACGGCTGTGAGGACCATACGGAATTGTGAGGTGATACCATACCTAAGAAGAGAGTTTGGAGCTCTATAAGCATCTGCTGCCTTCCTGGGCTGGAGAGACGGATGGCTCAGCCATTAAGAGCACTGTCTCCTCTTCCAGAAGACTCGTGTTCAACTCCCTACATCCATACGGCAATTCACAACTCCATCTGCACCCCCTCTTCTAGCCTATCTGGGCACCAGGCACTGATGTGGTGCAGACACACATGTAGGCAAAACAAGCATAAACATAAAATTAAAAATAACAAAGACTCCCGCCCTTTCCTCATTAGTGTCTGTGGAGACACCTGCAAAACAACACATCTCTTTACACTGACCTCACGGTGAATGGGCAAGGGAAGAAATAGACTTGAACTTGACTCTCAACATAGAAGCAAGTCACATGTAAGCAAGGCATAGCTGACTTATGGACCCAGGGATGAGGAATGTGTGTGTGTGTGTGTGTGTGTGTGTGTGTGTGTGTGTGTGTTGTTACAAAGCACAGGTTAGGAGACTGTTTCTCGCTGGGAACGGTGAGCACCGACTGATACACTCACCATGTTGTATGATGCCATGCTCCATGAGCCGGTGGCAAAGCTGCTCCCCCTCTTTCCTTGTCGTGGCCTCACCTTCCTGAACCAACCAGTCCAGGAATTCCGAGGCCATGAAGGTTCGCTCATACTTCACCCCTTCCTCTTCCCGCGGCTGTAGGAGGGTGGTTTCCGGGCTCATCAGTCTGGGGGGAAACATGAGGAGGAGAAAAGTAAAGCAAACATAAACAGAAGGAGAAGAGCTCATCTGAAAGGCGACATCAGAGGCTTCCAGGAAGTATATCCGAGGCTTCCGGGAAGTGCCACAGAAGAGCTGTCAGACAGACAGACGCAGCTGTCATATGCTGCTACAGCTAGATGTCAACTCCAAGAGAGAATCTGTGTCTGGAATGAACAAGACGCCTTTTCTCCTGTAGTTAAACAAAAGCTGGAAACACAAACTACAAGTCTACCGTTCACAGGCTGCACTGCAGTGAGCCACTTTGGAAAGTCTGGCAGCACTGGGGGTCTGGCTGGCGGCACGGCATTTACTTAGCCCCAGGCTTGGTTCCTGGCACCCAACCACACCCACACCCTTGAGGGAATCAAGAAAGAATGAGGGAAAGTGTAGCACACTTTTTCTTTTGGGCCACCAACCAGCACCCAAATCATGACATAAAGACTTAATATTATTTTAATCTACTTCCTTCTATCTACTGTTTGCCTTGGGGCTTTTTATCTTTCTTTTTTTAAAAAAAATTTATTTATTTATTTGTTCATTTATTTATTTATTATGTATACAGGGTTCTGCCTGCATGACAGAAGAGGGCACCAGATCTCATTATAGGTGGTGTGAGCCAGCATGTGGTTGCTGGGAATTGAACTCAGAACCTCTGGAAGAGCAGCCAGTGCTCTTAACCTCTCAGCCGTCTCTCCAGCCCAACCTTTCTTTTTTTTCCTGTATTTACTTTCCTGTGTCCTCAATGTCTGGCTGGCTTCCTGGCGGCTAGGTGGCTTCTAACCCCAGACCACTCCCTCGCCTTCTCCCTCATTCCCTCTTCTCCCCTGTTTCTAGATTTCTCCTACTTATTCTCTCTGCTCGTCAGCCCCGCCTAGCCCTCCACTGCCTAGCTATTGCCCAATTAGCTTTGTATTAGACCAATCAAGTGCCGTAGGCAGGCAAGGTGAAACAGCATCACATCTTTACATAATTAAATAAATGCAGCATAAACAAATGAAGCACATCTTTACCTAGTTAAAGTAATAGTCCAACAAGAAGAGAAGGCAGAGTGGTTAGTCAGGGTTTTTACAATGCATTGGCCTGTCTTTCTAAACTGCCTCATTAACATCTTTCCAAATCCATTTCCTAGACCACTGTCTTAAAAAAACTTCAGATTGATTGCATGTGTCTCCACCCCCAATTTACATCTAAATGTAGTGGCAAATGGAGATGGGAACTTTGGGCAGGAATAGCTTTTGAGACTAGAGTCCTTATGATAAGATTAGAAAGGATGTGAGAGAGAGAGAGAGAGAGAGAGAGAGAGAGAGAGAGAGAGAGAGCCAGTAAGAGGGCTCAGAAAGCAAAGGCACTGGCCATGTGTGCTGGTTTGCAAGAAAATGGCCCCCAAAGGGAGTGGCACTATTAGGAGGTGTGGCCTTGTTGGAGGAAGTGTGTCACTGTGGGAGTAGACTTTGAGGTCTCTTTTGCTCAAGCTTCTTTCAGTGTGACAATCCATAGACTTCCTGTTGCCTGCAAGATATAGGACTCTCAGCTACCAGAACCACGTCTGCCTGCACACAGCCATGCTCACCATCATGACGGTAATGGACTAAACCTCTGAACCTGTAAGCCAGTCAACCCTAATTAAATGTTTTCCTTTATAAGAGGTGCCATGGTCATGGTGTCTCTTCACAGCAATAGAAACCTAAATTAGGACACTATGGAAGCCCAGTGACCTGGACTCCCAGAATTCAAGTAAAGGTGGAAGGAGAGAACCAACTCCACAGGGTTGTCTTCTGGCCTCCACATGTCTGCTGTGACATGCATATGCCCACACACATACAAGTGCCCTCCACACATACCAACAAATAAATATTAAATATTTTTAAATTTTTGAAAAGAAGATCTTGCTGTTCTGGAATATTCTGATTCCACTCTGACACTCCCAAGACTGCCAATAAAGTTTACCTTGAATCAGAGGGTGAAGCTACCTATTAGCTGACTAAAATTTAAAAAAGGGGTTTTGGAGGACCAAGGACATATAGAGAGACACAGGCACTAGTAAGGCAGGGTTTAGAAAGGATTCTCAACCCTTTTGGATCAAGAAAGGAGAGAGGAGGCCACTGATTGCTTAGCTGCCACAACTCTGACCATTCAGGTTCCTACCCCGATATTTGACTCCTGAGTTTTTATTGATAAAGAATTATTAGCTAAATGCTTCATCTTGCTTCTTCCCTCCCTGCTGTTTCCAAGTGAAGATGAAGCAAGAAGACAGGCGTCTATGTGCAAACAAGAAGCAAGTCCTCGCAGAACTGAATGGCAACTTGTTTTTGACTCCACAAACAAGTGTTTTTTGTTTAAGCCACCCAGTTTGTGGTATTTTTGTTATAGCAGGCTGCGATGACTGTCACACCTGCCTGAGTGATCCCTCTACAGTCTTCATAGAGCCTCATAGCTTGCACCTACACTGACCTTCCCCAGCCTGTTGTCTGCCTTCTCTCTCTCTCTCTCTCTCTCTCTCTCTCTCTCTCTCTCTCTCTCTCTTCTTCCTTCCTTTTTTCTTTTTTCAAGACAGAGTCTTACTGCGCAGTCCTGTCCTTGGATTTGGTATGAGCAGAGCAGGGTCAAACTTGCAGATGGATACTGGGATTACAGCTATGTGTCAATATGCCTCCCCCAAATTTCCTGATTCTTTCACATTCTACCGTCACATCCTTTATCTCATCTAGTTTATCTCAAAACAGATATGGCTGGAGCCAGAAAGCACCTTTTTATGCATCTATACAACACCAGAGAACATGTGTCAGTTTTCATTTCCTTTGACACCAATGCATTAGAGGAAACTGACCACTGCCCTTACCTAGAGATATTACACGCTACCGTTTTCCTCTTATTTCTCCATGAACATATCTTTCTCAGGAGAATAAGAAGAAATGTCCATTTATCCCAAAGAGAACAACAATAACAACCAAAGAAACCATTCACCCAAGTCTGACTTGGTGAACCGTTGAGTTAACTGAGATTATTTATAGGGACAATATCTAATTCAGCTATAAATGATGGAGGAGTCTAGGGTTAGATAATTATCCCCTGAGCATATGCTGTGCACATTGCTCTACTGCAAGAAAATATGCTAAGGGTGGAGACTGTTTACCTAGGTTGGAACCCGTTCATGCAGCCTGGTTTGGCTATGGAGCCTCTATTAGACAGAGCAGGCAAGAGGCAGCTCCTACTCCTGATTAGGTCTCAACTAGACTGGGATACTCTACTGTTGGGATAATCTTTTTGTACACTACGTAAAGAGGTGCCTGTCCTTCCTCACCTTCTGATTGGTTTAATAAAGAGCTGAATGGCCCGTAGCTAGGGAGGAGAGAATAGGCAGGACTTCTGAGGAGAGATAGGAACTCTGGGAAAGAATCTGAGGCTTGCGAGATTTACCAGCCAGATGTGGAGGAAGTTGGATGTACGGTGGTACTAAGGAGAGGTTACAAGCCATGTGGCAGAATATAGATTACGTTGCTAAAAAAAAATCCTGGTTGAGATGCCTCTGTCTTGGTCACCCAGTCAACATATAGTCAGACGACCTATACATTTTATTTCCTAAAGCAATCTCATTTACACCTAGGCCCTCTCATCTCCAGCAATGCCACCACTTTAGTTTAAAATGCCTACATTTTAAACCTCGTGAACTACAGCATTTTCTTAGATGAGTTATGCCATGCATCCACTCCTGTTCTCAATCCATTCTCAAGTACCTACGTTTTGACAGTAACAAATGAGACACTAAATGAGGAAGGTAGTACCTGCTCTGCTTCCTTTCCTGATTCATGGATTACCAATCTTTGGTGGAAAAAAAAGCACAAGAGCTCAGCAGGCATAGTGGTCGATGCCAGCGATTTTTTTTTAACTGAGATTTTTAGATTTTTTATTTAAAACGGTTCCTCCTCCCTCCCTTCTTCCTCCGACTTCCCCCACCACCTCCCCCCCCCCACCCCCATCCCCATTCACTCCTCAGAAAGGGTAAGCCCTGCTGTGGGGAGTCAACAAAGTCTGGCAAATCAAGTTGAGGAAGGACCAAGCCACTAACCCCTGTATCGAGGCTGAGCAAGGTATCCGTCCACAGGGAAAAGGCTCCAAAAAGCCAGTTGATATACCGGAGATAAATCCTGGTCCCACTGTCATGGTCCTACAGACAGCCCAAGCCACACAACTGTCACCCACACTCAGAGGGTCTAATTGGGTCCTATGTGTGTTCCCCGGCTGTCAGTCAGCTCCCACTAGCTCGGGTCAGGTGTCTCTGGGTTTCCCCATCATTATCTTGACCCCTTTGCTCATATAATCCCTCCTCCCTCTCTTTGACTGGACTTTGGGAGCTTAGCTGTGGATCTCTGCATCTGCTCCCATTATGTCAGCGATTCTTACACTTGGGAGACAGGGCAAAGGATCACGGATTTGAGGCAAGCCTGGACTACATAGTGAGATGCTGTCTCAGGCAAAATCAAATCAAAACAATAATAAAAGCCCAAACAAGAACAAGAGAGAGAGATTGCAAGAGTTATTTATAAAAGTGATTACCATATTATCAGACCTCATTATAAACCTTATTTGGCATACCACAGAATTCATGCAAAATCAGTTTGGCTACATCATTCCCCCAAGTTGATCCTCTTTGGCACTTTACTCTACCTTAGAAAGTACTCTTCGAATGTTTCCCTGAGGTTAGTAGCAGCTGGGTTGATACGAACACTAAAGATTCCATTCAGTAGAACAGAAGTACAACAATGTACTTCAACACAGAGGCAGAATGATAGCGACATTGTGTAAGAGATGTATCATGAACAAATGACTGTAGTTCCCTGCATTTTCATGGAGAAGCTGAGTCTGTTCTAACATCTCCTGAACCTGTGGCTGGCCTCGGGACAACAGGATGAAGCAAAGTGACCAGGAGGCTTCCTGACAAATGCCTGCCTTTACCTGGAGTGCCAT